ACTGTTGCGCAGCCATCGCCACCATCTATCTCCAGAATGTCTTATGAATAATTTTGAGCAGGAGGATGAGGGGACCACAGGATATTTAGCAAGGTGTCTCTATTACCAGGAGGCAGGGCTGACTGAGTTATCTTCACGTATTCATGGGAAAGGAGAGAGGGAACAGAGCACACGTTAGGAGTCACTGTGAGACACTCGGTGCAGGGAGAGCGGCTCCTCACAGAGGGAAAGCGGGGCGGCTGCTGAAGTTGCACCCCATCCATACAAGAAAGAGAGGCAACTGGATGGCTCTGGGGGTGAGGGGAGCACAGAACTCTAAAGTGATTTCTGAGGCCCAAAGCGGCTGAGAGCACGGGAACCTTATCAACTGATGATATCTATCAATAGCAGAGAAAGTTTAGGAATCGGTAACTCAGAAGGAAAGAGCAGACCTGAACAGAAGAAAGGGGCGGGGAAGACGAGGGACTCATCGGAGGAAATGGAGATTCTTGGTGAGACAGTTGTTTGAAACGTGGAGCTTGGAGTAGAAATTCTAGCCTGTAAAAGACATTGGAGATGTGTATTTTGGGTTTTCTCTTGGCAATGATATTTGAAACCGAGATGGTGGACGGAAAGGTCCCTCTTGCCATTTTGGGGGACTTCCTATTTTCTCCATTCAGGGTATTCTTCCTCTTGGAAAATGCTACTTTGCAACTACGCCGTGGTATAGCTAAAATATAACTGACAGCCCACTCCAAATGCCTATCCACAGGCCTACTAACACCTGCATTGTATTTGGTGTCATGCTGAGCACTTTAGATGTTATCTGATAGACTATTAACAGCTACTCTATGGACTTGCCATTAGTAGCCCCATTTTCCAGATAGAAGCTCAAGGAGAGGCCTAGGAACACAGAGCTTGCTTGAAGCTACGCGGTAGGTAGTGGAGTCAGACTTTGTACCCAGCTCAGCCTAAATCCCAAATCTGTGCTCCCCGAAGCACTTTAACGATGGTTTTTAATTCGTCCCAGTATGCTCACTCGTGTTTCCTCTTTTTCACTTTCAAGTTTTTACATATCAGATAAAATTCCTCTGTGGCTCAGTGAAGTGCCAGGTACTAATAGCGGTAAGTCCAAAAGGTTTAAGCTCCCCTTTTTTGACAAAATATTCTATTTGAACATTTGTTAGTTAGAGAGGCATTGAAGAATGTTTACTTTTAACTTCCATAATATTACAATATCTCTAACAGGTAAAGACAAAGTTTCCACTTATTTAAAAAAGAGCAGATAAAGAAAGCATTTTACACACACAGAAGCTTATTATTATTTTTCCCTTGAGCAATGCAACAGAGACCTCTTGTGGTCAAGAAGCAGAAACCATAAGCAGAGAAGCAACTTGGAAAAAACGAAGTTGGTAACAGAGGAAATAGAATATGAAATAAGTCTCATATTGGCTCTGGAACTCTGGCAAGCAGAACAGAGAGAGGAGTGCACTTCACACATGGGGAGCAGCATGTGCAAGAGCAAAAGTGTTCCTTCTGTTCTCATGATAAAACTTGTGTGCTGTAGATAATGTGTAAAGGTACAAGGATGTAACTAGGAATCATTCATAATTCTACTGTCCGTGAAAAAAAACTGTATACATTTGGATGCACTGATTCTAGCATTGTTTTCTGGTTATATAAGTTCTTTTTTATCCATAAAACTGGGTAAATCCTGACCTTTTCAACTTAAAAGAAGAAAAAGCTATTTTCTGATAGCAGGCTTCAAAATGTAAATCATATGCAAGCCAGGGAAATTTTAGTGAGTATCTTATACTGAACCGCGCATTGCCAAGGGCCCCAGTTACTGTGCTGAGATGCACCTGCTTGGTGAGTGGAGTGTTGACTCCATTGCAGCCACTGTAGCCACTGCAGCCACTGCAGCCACTGCTCGGCCAGGGTCCCTGTGTGGGCTGCACCTATACCCCCGCTCTGGGGGCCCCTCCGCCTGCCAGGAAGCTAATTAGCAATGGTCAAATATAATTGCTGATATGCTCTTTAGAAAAAAATATATCCATTGGCATTTTTGACCTTAGAAATCCCAGAGAGTTCACAATCACTATGACTAATCCACCTGGGTTAAATGCAGCACAATATTCTGTTCTCTTGTGAGGAAATTTACAGTCTCAAACTACCCCATGGTGGGTGGAGGAGGAGGGCTTTGAAAGGAGGAAGCCAAAAAGAGTTTACCTTTAAGAGACAGAAATTAGGGGATAAACTATCTGAAAGATAATTCAGACATAACTTGGGGATCATGGAAAAGAAAAAATTAAGTAGGAGGACAGAGCAATCACTGTGGTACAGCTAGGAGACTGTCACTGAGTCAGGCCTCCCAGAGGTGAATGGGTTAACACAATTGGATGTGAACAATGTGTTCAGATGTTTCCATGAGGCAGGAACCAAGCATTGCACATTGTTCAGTTCAATCCTCTGTTTGAGATCTTTATCTTTTTTCTTTTTTTGAGAGTGAGAGAGACATCAGTTTGTTGTTCCACTTATTTATGCACTCATTGGTTGATTCTTGCATGCGCCCTGACCAGGGATCAAACCCACAACCTTGGTGTATTGGGACGACGTTCTAACCAACTGAGCTACAAGCCAGGGCAAGACATTTTTCAGTTTAGTTCTAGAGATGCATCAAGACCCTACTCAGCTGAGCTTCCGGAGTTCAAGGCGCCCCTGCAGAGAGCTTGGCCCCTGAACTCTGTCCTGCTGCACTCCTGTTCGTCTTTGTGAAGCCTCAGGCATCACCTGGGATTTTAAATTCTAATGAAGTGAAATAAACATAAAGAAGTATCTTAAATTATAAATTGAAGACCTTGCTGAAAATTTTCTCATGACCAACCAAAGCTGCTTTTGTTTTTGATGAAAGAGAAAACAGTGGAGGACTACTTAACGGAAACAGAGTCCTGTCAATGTGTACTCTCGAGGAGAGATGGGTTCATTCACTGTCTCAGGTCTACTTTAGAGGTAAGAGGGGATTATAGGAAATAAAGACCTTTCTTCTCTAGTTGACATAGAACATTATATTAGCGTCAGGTGGACAGCATAGGAGGGGACGTTTATATTTCTTATGACGTGATTGCAATCGGTCTAGTAACCAACTGGAAATAAAAGTCTTCGACTTACCCTATAGAGCTTTTAGAAATTCAGCACGGCCCGCCTTTTATTTTTTATTCAAATGTATGAAATAACCCTTTTGTGGGGTATTCCTACCTATTTCTCAAATCTGGAGTGAATTAAGTGGTAGAATGACATAAATATGTAAATTACATTTTACTGGTTTTCTTCCTCGCATGCTTTTAATGGGGGTCCAGCACCTGTCAGAGGGAGAGACAGGACTTCTCTAGCATCTCTTCTGAGTCTCCCGACTGGGATGTTTTTTAGAGAACTTGGCCCCGAAGGACCACGGATTCCATAGAACTGTTTAAAGTGCGAGGCTAGAGCTCCACCTCCAGCCTGGCAGTGTGCGGCGCTCTGTGCACACACCCGCTCTCCAGAAAAATTAGTGATAATTATACAAGGTGGGGGTGGGGGAGGTGGTGGCAAAAAAACCCGGAATTTATTTATTAAAAATTATCTTTATTCTTACATGTTTGAACTTTAATCATCTTCGAAGTCCTTTCCATTTGATGCAACACACCTACTGAGACGTTTTCCCACTGTTCAAACAGTTTTTGAACTCTTGGATTTTGATGCCTTTTAGTGCTTCTGCCATTTTTTGTTTCACCTCTTTCGCATCACAAAACGTTTCCCTTTGAGGGCTTCTTTCATTAGGGTGGTGGGGGGGGGACAGAAAAGTCATGCAGGGCAAGATCTCATGAATAAGGGTGGGGCCCAGGGTCAGGCCATCTTGGGTCAAAAAGTGCTGAGCGCGCAGCACAGTGTGGGCAGGTGCGCTCACAAATCACCCATCACCAATTAGGCAGATGAATTGAAGGAGTTTTCACAAAAAATCCACTGAAGCCAAAAGCAGCTTCTCACAAGGCCAGCTGGTACACTGATACAGGTGGGTTCCTAGAACACTCATCTAGCAGGGAAGCCTGTAATGCAAGGGGCCTGCCCTCCAGAAGATAATTCCAATTTCTTGGGGGTCTCCCCTTGTGAAAAGACAACCATATAAAGCCTCTGGAAATGGCCCTGGGTGCATACAGCAAATGAAGAAATGTTTGAAAAAATTTACTAAAGGTCAGTGAACACTGAGGTGTTTGAACCCACTGCTGCCCTCCCGGTTCCCCGTCCCCAGCGGAAGCACCCTTCCAGACGGATGCAGCCAAGCACACAGGGCTCCTCTCCTCTCAGCTTCCAACCGGAGGGCTACCTTCCCAGGAGGACCAGGGGTTCTCACCCCGACCCCCAGCCATGCACTTCTGAGTCTAAGTTCCAAGCAGGTGTGGCTAAGAGGTGGGGCATCCCCTTCTGCTCAGCCCATTTGTTAGATAACCGCTAGGCATGATCCGGGAAAGAGACAGTCAGAGAGAAGCTTGCCAAACACTTTTAATGACCATGTTGATTAGTTACCAGGGTCCAGAGGCCTGGGGGCTGCTGTGGGGGTGGGGAGGCAGGGCAGGGGCTGTGAGAAAGGAGATTTGGGGGACAGTCAGAAAAGTGGCTAAAATAATTTCACATCCTGTCTGGCTCTCTTCCCATTGAGTGTTGGAGGGTGTGAGTAGTAACGCTGGAGTGAGGGGAGAAACGGAGTGAGATGAGGCCAGATGGGAGGACTGGATCCGTCTGCCCTTCCTTAGCTATTTGCTGTGAAATGAATTTCAGTGAGAAAGGTTTTCTTGCTCCCTGACTTCATCTCAGATGTTCTGAGCCTATTTCCTTTCTAAAGCTTTTATAACGTAAACAGTATGCAGTCGACTCACAGCCTCTAAACTGAGCCTGCAGGTGCAATGTAAATGTTCAGTGGACTGAAACACTCGTGAGAGAGAGAGCACCCACACTCAAGTGCAACGCTTCGCTTTATTCTTCTCCCATCAAACCAGCCGTCTCCTGAAGCCATGGGAAATCATGGTGCTCTGGTATCTGGAGAGAGGCGAATGCATAGGCATGTCTGCAATTTTTATTTTCGATGGGCCTTTCTTTAAGACCACTTTTCGGTCTTCCCCATGGCAGAGCCTTTCACTGTGATTCAAAAACAGCGAGTCTTCCAAAGGGCCAGCGTGGATCCCACAGGCTTGGGCATGCTAAGAGAAAACACAAACAAACCAAACCCCTGCTGTGTATGACCCTGAACATCTCTTTATCAGATTAAGATGTCAGTTGCCCGATAGTTTTTCTAGCTGTCCCTGTCGAGAAAGAAAGTCTAGGGGACAGAGGAACATCCCTTCTTCAAAATCAAGGCTCCTTCGCTGGTGTCGCCCGACCACCAGCAAGAGCGGCGTGCACAGCAGGCTCTAAAGACAAACCTGCGGCAGCAGGTACCGTGGCCGCAGCCGGCGAGCCCGGGGTCGCGGCTGAGCACAGGAGGCAGCGCTTCGCCTGGGTGTTGCCCACGGCCCCGGCAGTTCGGCTACAGTGCTGCGAGTCGCCGCAAGTGTGTGGGAATCCCGGGCGTGGGGTCGCCACACTCTCAACCAGTTCCAAGCCAAAGGTGGCGCCTGAAGTGGACCCTCTGGGAAATGAAAGCGTTGCCCCAGAAGGTCACCGACCGGACCCCAGGATCGGGAGCGCTTAGCAGTGGCCAGGAAAGGGCGGGGCGGGGGCGGCCCTCCCCGGAGCTCTGGCCCAGGTGGCTGGGTGTCAGGACTCAGCGCCATTCAGAAGCGCTTGTCCAGCATCGCAATGACCGGGTGATGGCTTCTGCATCCACACGTGCCCAGGCTATTAAAAAGCACCTTTATAGCGCCACAAATGTGGTGGCTTGTGAGAGTAGAGCCAGGATCTGGCAGAATGATGCTTCGAGGCAGAGATCAGCTTCAGGGTTACCAACCACCTCCGCGGGGTGGGGGGGCTGCCCCAGACTCGGTATTTTTGCTTCCCTGTGCTCATTTAATAAATGACACTACCACAGCCTGCCGTTACAGAAGGTGGGTGGTGCTACAGGAGCCTCTGAGAATTTATGAACAAAGTCGAGGCATTGTTTGCAACGTGTAAATATCAAGCTGTCAGCTATTATATCTATCAGAAGACAGCATCTGGGAGAACAGCCAACTAGGAAGCTTTATGCAATAATGTAACTGCAGAAAGATATCAGCAGTTAAAATCACCGCTCCTGCCCTGGCTGGTGCAGCTCAGTTGGTTGGGCGCCCTCAGCAAAGCGAAAGGTCACCAGTAGGGCCCAGGTCTGGGTTCCGGTGGGCCCGGCTGGTGGTGGCCCCTGGAAGGCGGCCAGTTGGTGTTTCTCTCTCATACCCACGTTTCTCTCCCTCTCTTTCTCTCTCTCTAAAATAAAATAAAATAATAAAATAAAATATTGAAAACCAAACTATCCCCTCCTCCCTTCTGTGTATGGAGCTAAGGACACCTCTCTTGGACCTGAGAGAAGTGTCTGAGAAAAGCTGTCACCAATTCTAATTGTTTTGAAGGGCAAATTAAATATTTATAAATTAAAGAATAAAGGCATATTACGAACTCAACAAAAAAGAGAGAGAGAGAAACCTGGAGTCAGATTGTTGAACTTTAACTTTGCTACTATGTGACCTTGTACAAGTCACCCCCTAACACTCGAATTTCCTCAGAAATAAAATAGAAATGATTAAAGGATTCTCTGAGTTCTGAATAAAATATTACATGGGCGTGAAAAAAGCTTTGCCAACGACTAAGTATATTAAACAGGTATAAAGCGTGTTGCTGCAACTGCCCTGCCGCCGGATCAACAGCGGCCACTTGAGGTTGTTGTCTTAGTGCACACGTCTTTCTGAGTCTTCCGGGCCGCTGAGTAACACTGGGGCCCAGGCGCGGGCCGCAGCTCCGTCTCTGCAGCCCGTCTCTTGGGCGCTGTGCTTTCCTTTCCATGACGTTGGATGTTACATCTTCTTTTGCAGGAAAAATGGTGAAAGTGAAGAGAAGAAGGAGAGCACAGCTAGCATTTACCCAGGGTACATTCACTTCACTTAATTCTTATTCTCACTTTTACCCTGTAGGATGTTCTGTACGCCGGTCACTAATTACCTTTAACAAACTGTTAGGAAAATTGTCAACTAAACTGTAAATGTAAAATAGCTATGAAAATTGGGCTGAATTATAAAGAGTGAGTCAAAAACAAAAAAATGGTTTGATGCATTCAAAACAGTTCTTCGTTACTGGCTCCAGCTCAGAGTTCACACCCTGTGGTTCTAGGCAACGGAAAAGATGAAATCGTTACTGACATTGTCACATGCTAAAGTGAGTTAGGACATTGAAAATGACTCAATAAGCCACTAAGTTACATGAAATACAGCCCAATGTTAAGACTGTAGAAAGTCTTAATTATCATATAAATTTGATGCGTAAGTCTGTTATTTGAGTCTTGATTTCCTTAGTTTTATCTTTGTTATCAAAATATCACATAAAATACATATAAAATCATCATCTCAGGGCAAATGGCAGCTTTATTACATTGTTTATGTGCATTTTATAAGAAGATAATGAGCCCTATTTTTAGGACGTGTATTTTTACATCAGGTAATAGTTATACTTTGTAATGTCATCTCTGTCTCGGCAAAGTATATTCTTATTCAACATTAATTGCTTATCTATTAAAATTTGCAAATTAGTGATATACATTTCTTTCTAGGAATCATTACTTGGAATCTCCCCTTGTAGTCTAATTTTACTTTTCTCTTTTAAAGAAACAATTTACCTTTTAACTAGTGAATGGTCAATTTGAATTTGGAAAATGTTTGAAACTGACTGAATAGGAGCATGGAATGGGCAACGAGTCTTATCTGTAAATCTAGCCCGACTGTTCCCATAGCTCTCAACCTAAATATGCAGTCCAACTTTAAAAATACATGCTCTGTACTGTAGCTTTAATATTAATGGGCCCTACTTCCGATGAGCTTCTTAATTGTGTGGAAAGAAAGGTAGACATAGCGTTCTGAAATCTTTTGGTGTGTCTAATTTTAGTATTGTAGTTGGGTTATTTGACTAGATATTGATATTTAACTTCTGTTTGCAAGTTCATGTATAAGTGCATCAAATATTTTTGTCAGAGAATAGAATAGTGTTTGCCAGGACCTGGGAGGAGCTTAGAAATGAGGAGATATAGGTAAAAGGGCACAAATTTTTGGTTATAAGAAGAGTAAGTTCTAAGGATCTAATATTCAGCAAGGTGACTACAATATGGTATCATGTACTGGAAAGTTGCTAAGAGTAGATCTTAAGCATCCTCACCAAAACAAAAAGAAAAGTTAACTGTGTGATATAATGGATGTGTTCATTAGAAGGTCCCAGCAATCACTCCACTCTGCAATCAAAACCCCCCATTGTACGCTTTAAATGTATACATTAACATTTGCCCATCATTTCTCAATAAAGCTAGAAGAATACAACAAAAGTTTTAAAATAGCTTTTGTATACTTATGTCCATTCATTATATTAAATAGCACAGTATTTTTATTATAAATATTTATAGGAAAATACCTTCAGATTCACACTCCTGAATTCCATATTTTCTTTCCAAGGCATAGTGTAACGTCTTGGGATCATCCCTTGCTTTAATGAAAATCGTGGCAAATGAACCTCACTATTCCTGAAGATTAGGAAGGCAAGGAGAAAAGGATATTTTGTGAATTACAATCATTTTAGCATCATTCTAAGGCAAGGGTGCCAAACTCATTTTCATGGGGGACCACATCAGCCTCACTGTTGCCTTCAAAGGGCTGAATGTAATTTTAGGACTGTATAAATGTAACTGCTCCTTAAGTAGGGGCAAGGTGCTCGGTGCTGCCACCGGGCAGAAATAAGGTGCCAGGCCAGATAAAGCAAGGTGGAGGGCTGGATTCGGTCCATGGGCCTTGTGTTTGCCACCTGTGCTCTAGGGAATGGAGGCAGTTGAATCTTGTCCATGATGTTTGGACTCTCTCATCTGCAGGACAGAGAGGTGCCATTGTTTGGGGTCACCTGGTAAATAACCAACCCATTAAATCCCTAAATATCACCAAGATCAGGAGTCAGGTATGAGTGTCTGTACCTCCAACTGCTTGCTGTCCTTTACAATTTGCTCACCATGTTCAATCTAACCTGATTTTCAGGGAGAAGACAGAGCATCGTGATTTGCCTCAGTCCTGCCCATTGCCTAAAGGAATCTCTGGCCAGTCACAAAAATAAATAAATAAATAAATAAATAAATAAATAAATAAATAAATAAATAAATAACTAATTTAGCTTCTGAGTATAGTACATGCTCTACACTCAAGTCAGACTTTCCCTGCACACACATTTTTTTCCTTCTGGAACATAAAGCTTTCCATATACATTCCAGGGGGAAGCACAAAATTATTGTCCTCAAAAAACAAAACGAACCCCAAGCCCCCAGACCCTTCAGTGCTCACTTATTATCAGGCTTCTGTGACTTCTCATCTGAGCAGTTGTTGGCCAGTTTAGGTAAGATAGGACAGGTGTCTTTTCCTGAAGCCATCGCTGCCGGGAGTGATGGAAATTCTCCTCTGGAACTTCACTAATCCTTTAGTCCAATTGTGATGACGTTGCTGCCTCAGAGGTAACAATGTCCGCTAACTTCCTAGTACTCGTTAGCAGTTGATTAAAAGTGTAGGCTGGAGGGCTATTTTCAGTGGGTTTTTTTTTATATTCCTTCTTTTGGTTTTTTTCTTGGAGAACAAAATTTTATTCTAAAAATAGATCTCAGTAACAATGAATGGCAAAAGCTGGTCATTACAATATACAGGAAAAAAAGTAAGAGAAATTTGCTTTAAATTTTCTTTCTGAAAAATATAAGAATAGCACTGTAATTAATACACTGCCAACTGCCATTTATCTATATTTGAATTACTCATTTTATGAATTATCCAAGGAAATTTTTTTTATTGATTATGCCATTACATTTGCTCTATTCCCCCCTCCCTTCCCCTCCACCCTGCATACCCCTCCCCCACCATTTCCCCCTTTAGTTCATGAACATGTGTCTCAAATTCTTTAGATTCTGTATTTCCCCTACTATTCTTACCCTCCCCCCTATCTATTTTCTATCTACTGTCTATGCTACTTATTTTCTGTACCTTCTCCCCCCTTCCCCTCCTCCCACTCCCCTGTTGCTAACCCTCCATGAGATCTTCATTTCTATGGTTCTGCTCCTGATCTAGCTATCCTCTTAGTTTGCTTTTGTTTTAGGTGTGGTTCTTAATAACTGTGAGTTTGCTGTCCTTTCACTGTTCATCTTTTTTATCTTCTTTTTCTTAGGTAAGTCCCTTTAACATTTCATATAGTAAGGGCTTGGTGATGATGAACTCCTTGAATTTGGTCTTATCTGAGAAGCACTTTATCTGTCCTTCCATTCTAAATGAAAGTTTTGCTGGGTAGAGCAATCTTGGTTGTAGATCTTTGGTTTTCATGACTTGGAATACCTCTTTCCAGCCCCTTCTTGCCTGTAAGGTCTCTTTTGAGAAATCAGCTGACAGTCTGATGGGAACTCCTTTGTAGGTGACTGTCCCCTTAGCTCTTGCTGCTTCTAGGATTCTCTCCTTCATTTTAATCTTGGCTAATGTAATTATGATGTGCCTTGGTGTGTTCCTTCTTGAGTCCAACTTCTTTGGGACTCTCTGAGCTTCCTGGATTTCCTGGAAGTCTATTTCCTTTGCCATCTTGGGGAAATTCTCCTTTATTATTTGTTCAAATAATTTTTCAACTGGTGGTTGTGCCTTTCCCCCTTCTGGTACCCCTCTAATTCGGATGTTGGAACATTTAAAGATGTCCTGGAGGTTCCTAAGCTTCTCCTCATTTTTCTGAATTCTTATTTCTTCATTCCTTTCTGTTTGATCATTTTTTTCTTCCGTCTGGTCCTCTCCCTTGATTTGAGTCCCAATTTTCTTTCTATTACTATTGGTATCTTTTGTATCACCATTCATTTCAATTAATTTAGCTTACATATGTTTCTCTAATTTGTGACTAAAATCAACCAGTTCTGTAAGGATCCTTATAACCAGTGTTTTGAACTGTGCATCTGAAAGACTGGCTATTTCTTCATCACTTAGGTCTATCGGTTCTGGGGCTCTGAGTTGTCCTAGAGCCATTTTTGGTCTATTCGTGCTGTTGAGCGGAGCGAAGCCTTAGTTGTTTACCAGGACGGGGCGACCCAGGTCGCTGGTTTGTGACGCTGTGTGTGGGGGCGGGGTCAGAGAGGGAGTAATGGCGTTCCTCTCCGCTAGCCCAGCGCATCCAGTCACTCACACGCCTCGGGCTTGTTTATCCGATCCTAATTGTGCAAGCCTGCTGCACCGCGCAGGTTTCCCTTCTCACTGGTTTCTCCGCACGTAAATGTGCGCGACCGACCGAGCCACTGCGCCTCTTCCCTGTGCGCTCCGGCAGCCAGCGCTGGCGATCAGCACCCTCGGTTGCCTGCTCGCACCGCGCACCGCCCCGGGAATTTTTTCTTGCTAACCTGCTCCGCTGCTGGCCTCACTCCTCGTACCGGTCCAGCCGAGTATCTAGTTGTCCTTTGGACTCCGTATTGTCGATTTTCCGTGTGGCTTGGTTGTGACTGCTGTTAAAAATAGTTGTTCTTAGATTTGGTTGTGCACAGAGGTGAGGTGGATCCTCCACCTACTTCTCCATCTTGGCGGAAGTCCCTCCAAGGAAATTTTAAAATCATTGATTGGGTTCTGCCTAACATCTAGATATACATCTGGATTGCTTTTATCTCTAAGTAAATACATTCTCTAGGAATGCAAACAAAATTTAATATTTGCTTAATTAAACATAATTAGGAAGATAAATTTATGCTTAGGCAACATGCTCTAAAACAGAATTGAATCACTGTTTTCCTCAATTTTTGCACATAACCCAAAATGCCTGTGTATTACTTTGACTAATCTAAGATAAAAACAGAGTATTTAGTATGATTAAATGCACTTTTGTTAAAACTTGTCCCTGAGTTTTGAGTGCTAGAATGTAAACTGTAGAACTGAAAACACTCCCAAATATGTTTGCTAATATTGGTGTCCTGGGGCCCCTATAACTGTGCCTTCTGTCTCCACTAACATGATGTTTATGAAACTGCCTATTCTTCAGCAAGGAAGGAAGGGGAGGGGTCAGAAGAATATGCAAATAAAGAAGCGGGATGTCTCCTGCCTTAAAAATTCCCATTTGAAACGTCGTAAGAATTTATACCAAAATACACTGGTGTTCTAGTATACAAATGCAATTTTTTGGTATCTTCCAGTAAAATCTACAGTGCAGGAAAATGCAACATTTTTATCCTGTAAAAGGTTTAGTACCTTGAGGGGAGCTCCACAATCTTTTTGCTAGATAAACAGAGCATTAGTCTATATTTCTGCTGAATAGAGCTCTAAAATGTTGTTTTAGAAATTACATATGGGGCTTTTTAAAAGTTAGTTGTGCTCACACAACAATAAATATTGCCAGCCATTGAAAGCAGCTCTGCATCTCTTTAAACATTCCCTGAACATGTAGTTAATAGCTGAATATGAAATAAAACAATTTCCAGTGGTGATGAGAGTCTCACAGTAGCAAGTCTAACTTCTTATTTAATACTAACAACTATGTCTTTGAAACATTAACCTGTTAAATGTTGCAATTTGCTGATATTACATAGAGGAAAAAAATAATTATATCAATTACCACTGCAAACTCAGATGAAATTATTAGTAAAAATACAGGCTGTCCAGTGGCTCTCTAGAAGGGCTAAGCCCTGGTCTCGTTTCTGCTTTTATTTGATCTTTTTTTTGGTGTGTGAGGTGGATGCATTTTGTTTCTAAACTAAATACTAAGCTTTAAGACATAAAATACTGATGCTTTCTGAAGACACTTAACCGAAGCTTAGGCGTAAGATGTGGTTTACTCATCAAGTTTCTGCTGTGTGGCGTTAGTAACTAGGATACATCCAGCTCTGAGAAGTTCTGTGTGAGCAATTGAGACAACATCCGAGTGCTGTTATGAGAGCCTTACCTGAAGGCCCAGGTAGCATCGTGCCCTTCCCTGATGACTTCTAATAACTGGGGGCTGATTTTCTCTATTTATTGCACATGACTGATGTGTTCCATTTATGTTAAGCCAACTATTAGTTAGAAGCATACTTTAAAAACGTGAATCAGCCCTGGCTAGCGTAGCTCAGTGGATTGAGCGCGGGCCTGTGAACCAGAGTGTCACGGTTCGATTCCCAGTCAGGGCACATGCCTGGGTTGCAGGCCAGTTCCCAGCAGGGGATGCATAAGAGGCAACCGTACATTGATATTTCTCTCCCTCTCTTTCTCCTTCCCTTCCCATCTCTCGAAAAATAAATAAATAAAATATTAAAAAAAAAACAAACCAAAAAAACGTGAATCATATTTGCTTAAACCCAAACCAGGGGTAAATATTTTACCCCCTAATATTTGAGTTACATTGTATTCTAGATTACAAAAACTCACTTTAAAAATTTATTGATTTGAGAAAGGAAGAGACATTGATTTTGATGTCCCACTTATTTATGTACTCTGCTTGATTCTTGTCTGCGCCCTGACCAGGGAATCAAACCTGCAACCTTGGTGCGTTAGGAAGATGCTCTGAGTTACCTGGCCAAGACCAAAAACTCACTTTAATAAAGTTACAGCTGAGGATGAACACCTACATGACTAAAAGAGAGGTGGAGGGTTATTACTGTCACTCCTACCAGGGAAGTAGGAAAAATGTTAGGCTGAGAATAAAGAATCACTGCAAAATATACTGACTCACTGGGTGTTAACTGAACATATACCTGGCAAGTTTAGATACCTACCCATAAACCTGGATACACAGAGAATTACTTTTCTATGAGAGAAAAGTACTTCTCATAGACAAAGCTTTAGGAACCTTAAATATTGAATTGTTGGTTTCTATATGTATATTAGGATGCCACAGAAGCCAGAAATCTGTGTGGCTTCCCATATCAAGGAAACAAATATCGCATAAAAGGAACCAGGGAGGTGGCAGGAGTTGGGGGAAAGGATAGGAACAATCTTATTTAATGATGCAGCCTCTCGGGTTTAAATGCTCTTCGAAAGCCGTAACTTGCACTAGAAAATCAGCATTGTTTACGTGAATATGTGGCATTTAGATTTCTGAGTGATTCTCTTTCCTAATGTCCCAAATCTTTTAAAATCACCTCTCATAAATAATCTCAGGACCAATATCCAGTTACCTATTTGAAATATTTTTCTTTCTTTGGTTATAACAACTTCCTGAAAGCATATTTGAGATGAAAAACAAAAACCAGTCATTTGAATTATATTAGACTGCCAACATTACTTTTATTTTTGCATTCTTTATGAATACAAAGCAACCAATAACCACTTTTCTCCTCTTTTCCCACTTAAATCCAACTGCAATGACCATGTAGTTCAGGAACGACTGAGTTCAAGTACATTGCCTACACAGTTTGTAATTGCATCCTATGAAGTTTTGCTTTATTTATTTTGTAAACTATAG